GCAGGCTGTGCGGGCGCCGGGGGCCGCGCGCACCTTGGGGGAGGCCAAGTTGGGAACATGCTGGGTGGGGCGGAGTAGGCGAAAGGCGCACCCAGCCGTGTGTTTCTGCACGTGCAGAACCCAGGCACACCATCCAAGAGGGGCAAATTCGCTGTTCAAAGTATGCCCCTCGCCTTGACGAACCAAAGGATGGCTCTGGAAGTTACCAGCTCATTCTGGAAATAGGGCCCCCGATACTGGATCTCACTTGGCATGGCAGGAGTTCTATTGGCCGGTGGTAAACCATGACACCCCCCCACCGCCCCGCTGTCCTCCGTTAGAGATTTCCACTTCTCCTAATTTTAGTCTGCCTTCCCCTTCAGGGCTTCTCTGGTTCCCGAGCTATTTCAAGGCCCAGACCAACTTTCAGGATGGTTTCCAACTCCCGGGCCAGCCCCGCCTGCAGGCGGGAAGGGGCGGTGGAATCTGATCCCCTGCCGGGTCAGGGGGAATTCCTGAGGGGCGTCGCCAGTCCCCGAGTCTGGAATTAGAGATTGAAGTGGAGGTCTGAGGGTGTGCGCTTGGGATAGACGACGGGTGGTCGAGGAATTCAAGGGGAATAGGTCACATGTAAGAGCCAGTTGGTAGTGGAGACCCTGCTCCACCTCAGGGGCTCAGGGAGAGAGTCGGTTCAAACCAGATGTAACTTGTCAAAGCCTATGAATCTCCAAATGAATAGAGCCTCCCGAAGTAATGCATTTAAAATATGGTTAAAAGGAGGGGGGGAAATCAGATTCAGGCCTTTTTGAGTAAACATTTCTAAGAGACTATGTGGGAATCATTTTGGGGGGGAGGGGCTTTACTAGAACATCAGTGCCCTAAGTAGGAAAAATAGAGCTTAGACTTTTTTTCTTTTTGAGAATCTCAGAAACTCCTAAGCAACACTGCCCTTTCCTGTTTTTGTTAAAGCAACTGTTATTGGATGGAGGTTGAGGGGAGGATTATAAGCATGTGTAACAGTATGTTTCCTTTAAAATTACAGACACTATTGCCAGAATATTCATCTTTCCTAACTTCTTGGGGACTTCCAAAAAATCAGCACAGGACAGATTTTGTAAAATATTAAGCAGGAATCAGTGGGGGCGGGGGTGCGCATAAAATCACATATAGGCTAACTCTCAATATAAGTGATAGGAGACATATTATGTGGCTATTTTAATGGAATGAAATCTCTTGTGTTTGCAAATGTGAAAAATCATCGTGCATGCCGCACATCAGAATCCCTGAGGAATTACCCTAATTTTCATCTTTGTCTCTGCAAACGGCTTAGAGCAGAGAAAGAAGTACTTTTGAGTTATAAAATGTTCACTACTGCTTCTGATAGCCAATAGTTTTCAGTCACATGATTTGATATCTCCTCCCGGTCATCTGCCAGCTTGGCTCTTAAGGGTTTCCTAAGCATTCTGTTAGCCTTTTAAGACGCTGGTTTTAATTTTGTTTGGTCTTAATATAATCAGAAAAACCTATTTAAAAAGTCACCGGATGAGAGAGTTTCTGATGGTTTAAACAAGTATCCATAGCTTTAATCACTGGCCCCCCAAAAGAAAGGCATAAGATAATCAAAACAAAACAATTGGTAACATGCACTTTCACTCCATGAAGTCCTTATAGGCCCTGAAACCTGGAGAGATGCAATCAGGAAGGTCTGGCGTACAACCCTGAGAGCTGATTTAAACAAGAAACCAGTGCAGTAGATTGCAGCAGGCACCTTCTGCTGGGCTGCTTGATGTTCAGAGAACGCCTCAAATGCCTGTGGATTGGGTGATCTTTTGTTCCATCAGCTTGATTTGATTTAGTTAATTAAGCTAGAGAAAATGGAGCAATTTTATTTGAAACACAACAAAACAATGGCTTGTTAAAAATAATTTTTAAAAAGCCTCCAACATTAGAATTACTTTGTGAAGCGTTATTACCAAACGATGACGGGAAGTTTTTGCGTGTTAGGATTGTAGTTATCATGTGATTTTCTGAATCTCAGTATTTTCCTCGGCGATTCCTGAAGGAGGAGTGTCAGATCTTTCTTTTTTTCCGGACAGAGCATTGTCCTGAGCCACATGCTGAGGTCTAACATAGTTTATCATACTTTAACATGGCTGTTTGGTTCCTGCAACTTCTGCCCATCTTTTGTCTTTAAATGCTCTAGGAGTTTGCTTTGCAAACATTCATGGCAAGTTTTTAGGTGGCTATACAGTTAAAACCCATTTCCGTCTAGTAGTTTCCGGCTCACAGAGATTCCATAGGATGGACTAGAACTGTTGCCATGGCTGTAAGTCTTTCGAGTGGCAGGCTGCCATGTTTTTCTTCCATGAAGCAGCTGGTAGGTTTGACCCACTGTCCACTGAATTATCTACTGCGCGCTTAACCACTGCACCACCAGGGCTCTTTCTTGGAAAGTGAATTCCCAGACCTATTTTTTAAAATTATTATTTATCTGGGTTTTCCTATGTGAGATTACCATACAAAAGTTAAAGGTTTTGAGCACCGCCATTTCTCAGAGACAATGGAAAAGGTCTTTACTCAGTGTCTGCAGCTCCCTGACTAGCCATATGGCTTAGAGATGGACAGAGGTGAGGAGATTCCTGAGCCCCCAGGTCCAAGTTTGAAAAGTCTCCTCTACCTAAACACCCTTTTTACTGGAAACACATTCCCCACTGGATCCCTTGGAAAAATTTACCCAAAGCCTTTTTACCAGTATTCAAATGGTATTTAGAACAGGGTTGGGGGACCTTTTTTCTCCCAAGGGCCTTTTGAATATTTATAACACCATTCACTGGTCATACTGATCGAGCACTGAATGAACCCAGCCCTAATGTGACTGCTGGAACTGCTTCTCTTTGGGGAGGCCTGTGATGTTAGCTGGTGTGGATGCTTTTGTGGGCCTTATATGGCCCACAGGCCTGATGTTCTTCACCTTGATTTAGAAGCATGTGTAAACCATGAAACGTTTTAAGGATATCCTCCATTTCTGGAGCTCTTTTTGAGAGCTGCATACTTGTGGCTTGCAGACTTGGAGAACACTAGAAACAGAATAGAAGGGTCTTTTATATATGGCACTAAAGCTTAGAGAGATTCTGGGGATTGTCAGAAGCGGTGCAAACTAGTTGCAAAGCAAATGAAACTCCAGCTCTTCAGGCCAAATTTTCTATGAAAAGGCAGCCTGATGCTCAAGTTAAAGGCCTGGCCTCTGCAGTGAGACCGCTCACATTTAAACTCTCGTCTTGTCCCTTTACCAGTTATGTAACCATGAACAAATTCTTTAGCCTGATGTGTCTTGGCTTTCTAATTTGCAAAATGGGCCCAATAAGACTCCCACTTATAGTTGGTGTGAAGATTAAAATAACATGCAAAGTGATTAGAACTGTACCGGACACACAATAAGTACCCATCATCACTACCATTGCCTTTCAAAGGTAGTTTGTTGTATAGGTTTTGAGGTTCACAAAGATTTGATAATGGGTGATATATTCAAATTAGATTCAGCGACAAGATGACTGTTCTAGAGTTTTGTTTTTAAAAGATTGCCTGGGGACAATGGCTCAATGAGGTGACCTTGGTCTATGGACTCTACTAGGTTGCTTATGGTAGGGGAGTAAGTTCCTGGGGGGTGCAAATAGAAAGGTTGGAGGTGTGAGTTCACTCCAAGGTCCCGCGGAGGAAAGGCCAGCATCAGTCACTGAACACCTTTAGGAGCAACACTCCGCTCGGTCACTATGATTCTGAGTCCAGCTAGACAGAACCTGGTTACTCAGGAAGCTTGGGGACGGCAAAGAGAAGGAGATGGGTCGTCAGTCTGAGAAATTGTACTACCATTGCCTGGAGTTGGCTGACTTAGTAATGAGCATTAAAACAAGCAAAAATAACGAAAGAGAGAGAGAAACAGTAAGAAAATAGGCCAATTGGGTAAGGAAAAAGGGTTAAAATATGTTTCTCCTTCCTCTGTGAGTCTGGACTGTTTTCCTCTCCTGCACACCTTCTCTGTGGGGATGCTTTTAAAAGTTGCCTGCCTGCTTCTGGTCTCCTTTCAGGAGATTACACGGGAGGCGTCTCCAAGCTACTGCATGGGATTCCCAGTTGCATTCCTTAAGATGCTGGCACTAAAACTCCTAAAAGCCAGAACAATTTCCGAATGCATTTATCTTTTCACTCGTATTCTTATTTTATTTTTACTCTAGGTTGTGAAACCGCGATTTTATTCCCCATGCGGTCCAAGAAGATTTTTGGAAGCGTGCATCCAGTGACACCCGTGAAGCTCGAGTCTTTCAGCTCGTGCCTGTGGGTCAAAGCCACCGATGTTTTAAACAAAACCATCCTGTTTTCCTATGGCACAAAGTGGAACCCATATGAGATCCAGCTGTACCTTGGCCGCCAGTCCGTGGTGCTCGTAGTGGGTGGAGAGCAGAACAAACTGGTTGCTGATACCGTGATTTCCCTGGGAAGGTGGACCCACCTGTGCGGCACCTGGAATTCAGCGATAGGGCGCGCATCCTTGTGGGTCAACGGAGAACTGGCAGCTACCACTGTGAAGATGGCCCAAGGGCATGTTGTTCCTGAGGGGGGAATCCTGCAGATAGGCCAAGAGAAGAATGGCTGCTGTGTGGGCGGTGGCTTTGATGAAACTTTAGCCTTTGCTGGAAGACTCACTGGCTTCAATGTCTGGGATCGCGTTCTCAGCCACGACGAGATCAGAGAGGCTGGAGGAGCGGAGGCTTGTCACATCAGGGGAAATGTCGTTGGGTGGGGTGTCACAGAGATCCAGCCACACGGAGGAGCTCAGTATGTGTTGTAAGGGTTGTGACACTCGAAGCCAAAGAGGGAAACTGGATGTTCTAAATGTATGCCAGTTGGGAAAGCCTAAAGACCTCAATGCATAATAAGAACCCTTGAGACTAATGAAGGCGAGAGTTGGAAAGATCTTTATTTATCTTGGCAACATACTGAATGAACGGTTGGAGGGGAGATTTGGGAGAAGGCTTTGGGGATATTGTTACTACACTTCGTGCCAGGGTGCTTTCGGATGAATGCTGTCTCTGTCAGACACACTCTCAGCTAATTCACAAGGACCGCAGTGGGGCAGAAGGGCGGTGGTTTTAATTTGCTTTGGTTAATTTTGTTTAAGCCAGAGATGAATTTTATATTAGAAGAAGAAAATTGCATTTGTTGTTCATTATTCACTGTTATTGGTAAGTACCTTATTCTTAAAAAAGTAATGAAGACATATTTATACTATACTGTGACCTACCAAACATAAATGTAGTTTACATATTATAATCGAGTCTTGCTTTCCTGGAGGAGATAGTTGGATAAGTTATATTGTAAAAGGGTTTTTGTATTAATTTTATTAAGACTATTTTTGTAAAGCTCAACTGTAAATAAAATGTTTTATAAAACTAGTTCACGTTGTCTAATTATAAACGTAGGTGACCTTTTGGAGAAGATTGGTGCTTTTTTAGTCTAAAATAAGCATTTTCAGAGATTACTCTATGATGTAAACAGTTATAGTGAATACCCTTAGAGATAAACTCTAAACTTGTCTTAAACCTCGACTCCCTTGCATTCATAAGCAAGAACTATGCTCTTGGTTAAGTCAGTTCACCTCTCAGGGTTTGAGTTTTCTCAACTGAGAAAGCAAGGAATTGAGGAGCTAATCATCTCTAGGTCTCTTTCAGTTTGATGATTCTTTGAGCTTACAGAGCTCATGAAAAAAATAACGGGACAGGAGTAACTAGTGTTCACCAGACCTAAGATGCCAGCCAGCCCACAATGGCTTAGTCTAGCTCCTGGGGGATATCTAAGGAAGTGGAAAAGAAACCACCGCACCTGTTCTCTTAGCTCATGAAGAGGTGGGGAGGCCTGGGAGGCAGAAGCCACACCCCTTACATTGCCCATGGGAGAACTAGTGTCCTGAAGGTTCAGAAGTGTTCTAAGGCGACATCACAACCTTTTTCTGAATGTCAGTGGGGAATATGGTTGAAGCCCCATCGTGAGGTATCTGCTTCAATGTAGTCTGAGTGACCCCAGTTCATGTCCTTGGCGTGAGGCCTGGAGACTGCTTGTTCTATAGGACCCCAGTAGCGCCAGCTGAAACTAGCCGCGTTCTGAAACTAGCTGAATGTCCTTAGATAAAGTTACTTATTTATACTCTGTCTCTCTGGCCAATGAAAGTTGGATTCAGCCAGTAACATCCCATGGATCTAAGAATGTTCGAGAATGCCCCGGCCCGGGGCACAGCTGTATCCCTCGTGAAAGAGCCATGCACACAGGCTGGTGGGTGTCAAACTCTTGGAGGCTCTGGGCTTCTAGGTGTACATTCAAAAAATACATTTCATACGCTCAGGAACTAGGAGGAGTTTTTGGGGTGGTGGTTTTTCTTGTTTTTCTTCAGTGGTACTTAATGAGTTTTAGAATTTTTAGTGTCAGTAGGAAGGGAACTAAGAAATGTATGAAACCAAGAGACCAAACTCTAGGCTGCAGGGACAACATCCCAGTCCTCATTCACTGCCTATGGGACTTGAACTCTCGACTGGACGCCACTCTAGATAGAGTTCAGAGTTCGGCATGCTTTCAATTCTTTTCCACACGCTTCAAGATGAATTCGATCTATTCAAGAGACCCAGGATGATACAGGCCAAGTTACATGCAAACTCCCATTGACGGAGTTACATGTAAAATCACTGTCTTTAGTAAGTACTTGTCACGGGCAAAGAAGAAACAAATTGAGGGATATAAAGTAACCCCGCAGGCTTGCAAAAGTAGAAATTTCATCTGCAACAGCATTAAATCAGTGTGTCTTCCAAGAACGTGTAATTCTTCCCTGGCATTGCATTTCCTCTTTTCCCCTAAGCAACAGAGCTCCCATTGCGGCAACACACATGGCCACTTGGAGTCAAGTTCTGACCAATGCTGAAACGTTGCATGTGATTCTCGGGGAATGAGCTGCTCTTTCCCTTCCTCCTCTGACTGTTTGGAATGTGGTACCTGAGGCTGGAATTTGAGCATTTGCTTTAGGCCATGGGATTCAGCACAGTATAGAAGAAACATGGGTCTCTAATGATTGGGAAATTCCCCACCAGCCAAGGCTGCCTGGCCTTGAACTTCTTTCACATGTGAGAGTAATGCACTCTCAGGGACTTTAATTTCCTTTTGATTGACTTTCTAATCCTCCTCCAGGAACTTCTTTTTAAATTGAATAATATCATGCACAGTGTTATCTTGAAGAACTAGTAGCTTATATTCAGAAAATACGTTTCACACACTTTCAGGAAATTGGTTGGTGGGCTTTGTTTGTTTGTTTTTAACTAATCAGTAATACTTTAATGCATTTTAGAATTCATAAGTGTGAATAAAAGGGGGAGTACAAAATGTATAAAACCAAGATAACAAAGCCAAAATCCAAACCCAAAGCCATCCAATCAGCTGATTCACATTGGTCCTAACGGACAGAGGAGAGATGCGCCTTTGGGTGTCTGAGGCTGTACATCTTGGAGCAGGTAACCTCATCTTTCTCCCGCAGAGCTGCTGGTGAGGTTAAACTGCTGACCTTGACGGTAAGGGGCTCAATGCATAACACACCATGCCACCAGGGTTCCTTAAAACCAAGATTAAACATCTTAAACCCAAAAAGCCCATCAGAATGCTTGCTTGTTGATTGGCAAGCCGTTTCATTCACTGGAATATTTCTTGAGGTAAAATAATTGTGAAGGATGCTTCCATTTATTACCCAAACACACTCACTACCATTGAGTCAATTCTGACTCATTAGGTACCACCTTGGGGTTTCTGAGGCTGTAATTGTTTACTGAAGCAGAAAGCCTAGTCTTCCCCCCCAGGAGCTGCTGGTGGTTTCGAACTGCCGACCATGTAAATTGTAGCCCAATGGATACCCACTACACCACCAGGGCTTCTACCTAGGAAGGGATAACAAGTAAATATGTGTAATATATACTATAGTTTAATACATGTTATATATGCATTTATTTATCAAAGTGCATGCTAAGGTGACCAACTGCCCTGGCCTGCCTGCAACTGCCTGGACTCTGAAAGTTCAATGTTAGCTTCTAGAAAACTCCTCAGTCTTAAGCACACTGAGATACCTTATCATTTTAGTATTGCTGTAGCCAGTAAGGACTGGGATGCCTGCCACTGTATTAGCCAACAACAGAGACCGGGTTGATTCTAAGAATTCTAAGTTTATTACTGCAAAGTCTTGACAGAAAGAAACAGTGGGGTTTGACACCTCCCTAAACTGCTTCAAAGATTCCATGAAAAGCAAGCAAGTCATATGCTCTAACTGTGTGGCAAGCTGAGGTGCCCGGTGGTACAGTGGCTGTGCGCTAGCCGCAAGATCACCTGTTCATAAACCACCTGTTCATAAACCTCCCACTCTGTGGGAGAAAGATGAGGCTAATACAGTAAAAGGTCACAATCTCTGAAATTCACAGAGGCAGTTCTAGCCTGTCCTAGAGAGTGTCTATGAGTAGGAATGGGGTCCATGGCAAAGGTTATTTATTTATTTATGATGGAGCAAGAGCAATGTTTGTTACAATGAACAGAGGACTTCAGCAATGGGGCAAAGGACGCACCGTTCACAAAGAAAAGGAGGCATTGCTTAGGTTCCTGTCTTATCTAAATGGCCTTGCTTGCCCAGAGGTTTTGTTTGCCCAAACTTGCTGAATTAAAATTTTACAAGAGGGGGCTGCTACAGTTTGGATTTTAGCCATCTAAGTCTAAACATACTAGACCCCAAACTATGTCATTCGCATTTCCTGCATTTGATTAACAGCAGGCTAGTCTTTTGACCCCCTCTATCAGTATGTACGTGTACAGAATAACTTTTGCCGTAGCAACATACGAACAAAACAGAGCTGATAACTACATTCCTTATCTATACTGTTTTGGCATAAATTGGTTCTTAAGTATTAATTTCCCCCAAACACCCTCAGATTATTTAACTACTAAGCATAGATCTAGAGCTTACCATTTACAATTAGTTAGCTAACTGGATTTTAAGAAAGCACTGGCCTCGCAAAAAGAGGAACATTACAATCAAGTTTTATCCTGTTTTTTGTGAAATCCCACGTGGCAGAGCTCTCCTTAGAGAAGTTTACTATGGCCAAATATGTTCAAAATGGGCTTTTCGTCACTTCACGAAATGCCGTCATGTTAAAACTTGGTCCAAGCAATTGTGTATATTCGCTGACAGACTCCTGAATCCCATGAACTGGAAAACGCAGCATGCGACTGGCTCCGGAGGGTTTTCAACGGGGTGTGCAGAGGAAAGCTTGCCCTTCTCGTTCTACCTCCAGGACACCGGCCCACCAGGGAGTTGTCTCAACTACATGACGGCCTTTGTTAGCTGAGAGATTAAGGATAGCAGGATTGAGTGTTTGAAATAAAATCGTTATTAAATGGTTTCCCAGGCAGTTCCCGGCGGAGAAGCATATAGGAGTGTAAGCAAGAGACAACAGCAAAAAGAAACAAATGAATTGAGGATTCCTTTCCAAGGTGGGCATGTTTACTTCTTCTGCGTCACAGCAACATCTGCTGGTGAAGTCAAGGAGGTGCAAATCCCACTTGCACCAGATCCCAGTTGGTGAGCGATTCTGTTCCCAGATGGGCCTGGATTTCTTGATTTGTATTTGAGGTCAGTGTTTGCACCACTGCATTCCTGTCTCACTGTTTAAGTACATTCTGGTCAACTATATTTTAAAGGGTTGTTGCGGAGCCCTTATCCTGGAATATTTGAGTAATGAGTTATTTAGATGGCTCCGGGATGCTGGCCTAGCTTACTCCATACATGGATTAAGTCCAAGTGGAACAAAGATCTAAATGTGAAAAGCAAAACAAGTTGCAATAGGATGAATGTAAAGACCTTTCTGTTACGAGGAATTGTATTATGGATCATTAGTGGCTAATGGTCTCTCCAGGGATAATGAAACTCGAGTTACTTATGGATCTGCCTCCAATATTTTGATATGGATCTGGCACAGAGCAAGGCTCAGTCAGAGAAGGCGCTAAGTGTGGCCTTGACACTGATGGTGGGAAGAATCAGAGCAACCAGGGAGGCACTGCGAGCCGGGCATTGGGCAAAGGACAACTGCTCCACCTACGCTGTTGTGTTACAACATTAATTAAATACAATATTCAATCCATAAAGGGATGTATTCTATAAAACCCAATAAAACAAAGGTCAGTTTTCTAGATCCCCAGATTACTGAGGCAATTCACAAGTCAGTAGTTTGAATTTTGTCTCTCTGAAGTAAGGTGCATTTATCATAATTCACTAGACAGTCTTTTCCAGCCGGTTGCCAATACGTCAGAAAGGAATTTGGACTCTTGCTGAGACAATTTTACACTTTCTTTCCCTTGGTTTTCTGAAGTTTCAGACCCAAGGAGGTCCTCCCATGACTTGTGTCAGAACACCATGTCTGGGA